ACCACGCCATTGCCACAAGAGCATGCCTTGGCTAGCTCTTGGGAGGATGCGAGACACTTAGCACAGAGTTGAGTTGCCCCAGTTACCCCAGGTGAGGTCAGACTATAAAGCTGAAAGCCGGCGGCCCCCCAGACATGTGAGTGAGCCCAGCCAAGATCAGCAGAGCCACCTGTCTGATTCCAGATGCTTGAGCAATAAGTGCAGATTGTTGAATGCCACAGAGGTTTGGTGGTGGTTGAAGCATTACTGCAACCATATCTAACTGATTTATAGAATTGCACTTCCTAGCCCCTTGGTGTTTGGATGGGGCCATAGTTCTGGTAGTGAGTTGGGAGCAAAAGTAATAATGACATTTCTGGACTGGAGCATTTAATTGCTGGTGTAAGACCCTCTAGAACTCTCTTTTCCCCTTAACACATCAACCAAAAACTTTTGAAATAGTGGCTACTCCCTCAGCCTGGGTCCCTGAGAGACTAAGATAAGCTGAACATCCAGCCATAAAGAGATTTTGTTTTCAGCCATTGAGATTTTGGAGTTGTTAGTTATTGTGGCATAACTTAGTCGACCAAATAAAGCGGGAAAGGGTATTTTAAGAAGTTTGATAAAGGTTATTATTTGGTTCCTCTTTGATGTTCTTAGAGAGATTGCAGTCAGTATTTGAACTGTGTTTTCAATTGTTTTTTTGTTAATGTACTACTTTAATTAGCTTGCTTTGCCTGCCAACCTATTGACTGGCCTAAATTTTGGGGCAGTTACAGAGCTGGTTGCCAAGGAATGGGGAAAGAGAATAGTGCTCTTCTTTACCTTCCAAATATCTTCAGACTTTTCCTAAACAGAACATGTACTCAGATGTTGGGCAACCCAAATGTCCACTAAGCTCCCTCTAACAAATTGGAAGTATTCTTTGTCTGTCCAAATTATATATTACCTCAGCAAAAAGGAAGACACCCTTCAATACTGAAAGTATAGTGGATAAGAGGGCAAGCAGAAAGGGCTTTGAAAAGCAAAAAGTAAAAATCCCTTAGATACACAAAACTTTCAATCCCTCTAAGAATGTATTTGAAATTCACACAAAGAGGAAAACAAAGGAAGAAATCTTTGTAACCTTGGTTTGGGTAAAGATTTCTTAGATATGACACCAAAAGCATACCATAAAAAAAATATTGATAGATTGATCTTCATCGATATTATTGCCTACTGCTCTTTGATACTGTTAAGAGAATGAAAAAAAAAAGCCACAGGCTGGGAGAAAATATTTGCAAACCGTGTATATGATAAAGGGTTTGTATCCAAAATATGCAAAGAACTTTCAAAACATCATAATAAAAAAACAAGCAATGCAGTTAAAAATTGGACAAAAGATTTCAATAGATACTTCACCAAGGATATATGCAGAAGGCAAATAATCACACGAAAAAATGCTGAACATCATTTGCCATTGCAGAAATGGAAATTTAAATCACCATGAGATACCACTACACTCATAGAATGGCTACAGTTACAAAGAGTCATCATAGACATGGAGCACCTGGAACTCTCCCACATTCTTGGTGGGAATGTAAAATGACACAATCGTTTTGTAAATGTTTGACAGTGTCTTAAAAACCTAAACCTACACCTACTTTATGACTCAACCATTCCATTTTACCCAAGAGAAATGAAAGTACATGTTTACACCAAGACTTGTTTTGGAATGTTCATAGCACCTTTATTTGGAATAGCCAAAAACTAGAAGCAACTCTGATATTCATCCACAAGTGAATGGAAAAACAAATTGTGGCATATGGACACCATGGAATACTACTCAGCAGTAAAGAAGTATGAACTATTGATACACTCAACAGCACAACTGAATCTCAAAATAATCTCCAATTTATGCTGAAAGAAACCAGACCAAAAAAAGGATACATAGTCTATGAATGCATTTATATAAATGTCTAGAAAATATTAACTATTCTGAGGGAAGGAAAACAGGTCAGTGGTTGCCTGTGGGTGAGGTGGAGTAGAGGTAGAGAAAGGTTACAAAGAGATATAAGGAAACTTTTAAGAGTGTCGAATATGTTCATTATCTTGACTATGGTGATGGTTTCATGAGGGGTTTATTTATGTCAACATTTATAGAATTGTACACTATAAATATGTGAAGTTTATTGAATGTCAATTATATCTCAATAAAACTGTTAAATAAATTAATATACATATGCATAGAATGTATTTGTTATTGACTAATGATTCAGGAAGGAACTAGAGCACAAGGGACTACTAACTGGGATTTTAAAAATTGGATGATCTCATGAGTAGAAGGTTAGCAGTTGTGAGGACACTTCTCTTGAGCCTGACCTTCAAGTTTGGCCCCAGAAATCAAAAGATAAGTACAAATTGGGAGTCCAGAAGATCTGTAATATATAAACCTCTTTATCACATATCTGAGATTGAATAGGATGGTCACATGGGCTGTGACATGGACCTACAGCTGAACTGTAGGCCGGTTAAACCAGAGCAGTTAAAAAAATCATTCAGTAGATTTGTCTCTGTTTTAGGTAAAAAGGTTGTTTGGTTACTTGTGTGGAACACAAATATGGGGAATAACCTGTTTCAAATTAGGCACCTTATGTTTAACACTCTAAGATTCCTGAATGAAAATGCAAACATTCATATACATAGTTTATCACCATGTCAAATCCAATAAATAAAAATAAGGGATGCAAGGCCGGGCATGGTGGCTCACGCCTGTAATCCTAGCACTTTGGGAGGCTGAGGCATGAGGATTGCTTGAGGCCAGGAGTTGGAGATCAGCCTGAGCAACATAGGGAGACTCCATCTCTACAAAAAAATAGAAAAATTAGCTGGGCCTGGTGGCATATGCCTGTAGTCCCAGCTACTCCTGAAGCTGAGCCCAAGAGTCTGAGGTTGCAGTGAACTATGATCAGCAGTTCCCAACCTTTTTGGCACCAGGGACCGGTTTCATGGAAGACAATTTTTCCACGGAAGGGGTTAGGGAGGTAGCGGTGGGGAGTGGGGAGGCGGAGCTCAGGCGATGGTGCATCTTCCGGCACCTAACAGGCTATAGACCATACTGGGCAATGGCCTGGGAATTGGGGACCACATGCTATGGTGATGCCATTGTACTCTACCCTGGCAATTGAGCGAGACCCTGTCTCTAAAAATAGTAATAATAATAAGTAAGGGATGCAGTTACCTCCTCTGTAATAGTTCATTAAAAGTTGTCTGATCTTTCAGAGCCACCCTTTGATACGTTTTAAAATCTCCATTAGTATTTTTTTGAGAGTTTTGCTTTTCTGATAGAGAGTTTGAGCTTTTCAAATACCATAGCCCTGTTATTTTTTTAAAGTCAAATTTCTGTTGTAGAAATTTGGTGACCAGGAATGGAAAGACTAAGATTCTAATCCTGGCTCTCCCCTTACCTCAATTTCCTTGTCAGCAAAATGGGGATAATAGTAGTACCCGGGATGAATGGTGCCCCTCCCGCCAAAGTGTAAGTCCACACTCTAATCCCCCAAATCTATGACTGTTATCTTATTTGGAGAAAGGACATTGGAGATGTAATCAAGTTAAGAATTTTGAGATAAAGATATCATCCTGGATTATTTGTGTGGACCCTAAATCCAATGACAAGTGTTCTTATAAGAGAAAAACAGGCTGGGCACGGTAGCTCATGCTTGTAATCCTAGCACTTTCAGAGGCTGAGGCGGGAGGATCGCTTGAGGCCAGAAGTTCCAGACCAGGCTCAGCAAGAGCAAGATCAAGAGCAAGACCCTGTCTCTATGGAAAAATAGAAAAAATTAGCCTAACTGGGCATGGTGGCATATGCCTGTAGTTCCAGCTAATTGAGAGGCTGAGGCGGGAGGATTGCCTGAGCCTAGGAGGAGTTGGAGGCATCAGTGAGCTATGATTGTGCCACTGCACTCCAGCCTGGACAACAGAGTAAGAGCCTGTCTCTACCAAAAAAAAAGGAAAGAAAGAGACGGGGAGATTTGAGACAGATGAAAGAGAAGACACATCCCAGAGCCCAGAGGAGAAGGCTATGCAAAGATGGAAGCAGAGAATGGAGTGATGTGATCACAAGCCAAGAATGCCAGCAACTAGCAGAAACAGGAATGACAAGGAAGGGAATCTTGCCGGCACCTTGATTTCTGATTTGCGGCCTCCAGAACTTCAAGAGAATCTCATTCTGTTGTTTTATGCCACCGGAGCTGTGATAATTTATTAGGGCAGCCTCAGGAAACTGATGCACAACTTCACAGAGCATTAAAAATGGGGATAATAATACTATCTAACTTGTAAATTTGCTATGAGCATTAAATAAACTAATATATTCGTAAAGCATGTAAAAAAATGCCCAATGCTTAGTAAGCACTACAGAAATTCTAAGTAAATTTTTACAAAAAAGAACTCAATGATGTCAATGCAGCTGGTTGTTGATGATATTATTGCTTTTCTGGGCCGTGATTGGTGGACCGGATATTATCACACCAGAGCATTTTGTCAGATTACGGAACTGAAAAATGAGGATGGTTGGAAGGTCAAGAAGAATGGAGTATTTCATCTACAATGTTCTTTAGACCCTGAAAATTCTATAAAAGGAACCCTTCAGTTCTCAATGCATTTGGCTCCTTGCTTATTAGTTATCTCTCTACAATCCCTTAATCTCTAAGCGTAATTTAAAACGGAATGCAGAGACCACAGGAGAAAATCACTTTTCTTGCCACCTGCAGAAAACTACGATTCCCAGAAGGCTTTGGGTCTCTAACGGGGGCGGGACCACAATAGGGGAGGAATCTAAGAGAAGGTCTTTGGTCGATTCCATTGCCCAGAGCGGGAGGGGTCACCGGAGGAACGAAAGCGATTGGTTCGGTCCGGGGGGGATCGGGCCGTGGCGGACCGCGCTCAAACTTCCCGGGCCGGGAGCGCGGGGCCTGCCGGGAAGGCGTCGGGACAGTTTCCCACCAGGCCGCCGGCCGTCTCGGCTGGGCTTCGACATGCAGAGCACGGACCTGGGCAACAAGGAGAGCGGCAAGATATGGCACCGCAAGCCGTCCCCAGCCACTCGGGATGGGTAAAGGCCGCGGCGAGAGGGCGCGGGCTGTGGAGGGCTGGAGACCGGCGAGGGGCGGGTCCGCGTCCGTGGAGAGGCGTCTGAGGGTCAGGCTCGGGAAGGGATGCAGGGAGCCAGGTAGCGGTGCGGGTTCTGGCTCTGACCCTGCCGCGCATCTCTGGTGACCTCATCAGGGGTAGGTAGCTCCAGACGCCACGATCCACGGAGACCCCCTTCCAGGTTCTGGGAGGGGGGTCTGGTCTGGGACAGCATGGAGCAGGAGGCACGTGGTTCTCTTTATGTAAGAGAATTTGCGCTTCTTGGTAAGTGCCAGGAGGCTTCCTTCTTTAATTATCATGTTTCCCTGGTACGTAAGTAGATGCTCAGTAAATATTTAACGGTTGCATCTGGAAAAGAACTCTAAGAGGGCTGCAAGATGGGAAAGCAATAAACTTCTACCCCTTCCGAAGGCCGCAGCTTATTCATTCTTAGTTTACTATATGTATTCAGACACAGGTGCATTCATCAACTGTTTGTTGAGGGCCTGCTAGGTGCCAAGCACGCTTCTAAGCCCTGGGGACAGCAACGGAACAAAAACTTCCGGTTCCCCGAGTTCACATACGGGCCTGTGTGTTAGGGGTTGGGATTACATTCTAATTGCACGGCGGCCTTCAAGTATTGCCAGCGCTGCTTTTCATTCTATTCCCAGTTATCTGACCTGTTTAAGGCTCAATTTCTCTTGGTGACTTCATTGGAAACCTTTGCTCCAAAGTGGTGCTATTTGGGGTTCCGATTGCTGCGCACAAAGTAATCTTATTGCTTCCAATTCCCTGGGGTTTCACAGACTTTGCTGCATCGCTTGAATTCATGTTTCAGTGTGTTTCTTGTTCTAGTGATTTTTCTGTTGATCTTTTGGTTGCTTCTCCACAAATCAACAGACTTTTAATTGCCTACTACGGTGCCCAAAGCGCTGTGCTAGACGTTTTACCAGCAGCTTGTTTGCTTTCTGGCTGTTGTCAGTCCCCTTTATCAATGGCTGTCTCATCAATATAATTGAATAAAAAATTGTCTAAAGTGGGGATTCTTGAAGTTTTTCATTTCCAAATCTGGGTTTGTGTAAAGGCCATCACTACCTCTGGTATTTTTAAAACATTCTGAAAGTTATAGCCAATCTACATTAATTTTCTTTCTTGCTGTTATAAACCATCTAGATATACATGCAAGATTAAAAAAAATGAAAGAAACAGGTTTATTGTTCAAATGTCCTTATTGTTTGCTTCTTCCACTAAAACTTAGGTTTCTTTTTGTTCATTAATACCCATTGTTTAAGCTGTTTAGAAAGTCAAAGAGCCCTGACTAGGAGTCAGATGGATTTAATTAAAGTGAATGTCCACTTACCAGCTCTGTGACCCTGGGCAAATTGATCACTAAGACTGTAAGGGGATAATCAGACTTACCAGACACATTGTCTGACACATTTGGTGCTCAGTAAATATTTGACATTATGTTTAAGAACTGAGAAACTCTTTCAGGCAACCTGTGGTCAATTGAAAGGAAGTTGCTGTAATAAATGCTTGTATGTGTGATTTATATGAAAAATGAGAGGGACAGAATGTTGCTGTTAATTGTGATTACATCTAGATGGTAGGGTTATGATCAAGTACTTATTTGTTAGTGTATTTCTGTATTTTCCATATTTTGAACAATGATGTAATTTTGTAAACAGAACACATGTAAATGTTACAGAAAAAAGACTGGAAGGAAAAGTCATTTTTACTATGTCTGAATTTAGTTGCCAGGGACATTTTGATATTATTGCTTGTCATTTCAGTATGGTTATGTTTGGATTTTTAATTCCTTGGGTACTTGATAAAAATAAGCATTGTAAGAATTTTGCTGTTTCCCTTAATGGATCGAAAAAAAAGCCTATGTTTAGATAAACAAGTAGAAAATGTTTAATCTACTTAATTCAGTTTAGCATGCTTTAATGAAGTTATAATGAGGAAGATAAATGTTTCCATATTAAAATTCAAAAATTCACAAAATATAGGCTGGGCGTGGTGGCTCACGCGTGTAATCCTAGCACTCTAGGAGGCCGAGGTAGGAGGATCACTTGAGCTCAGGAGTTTGAGACCAGCCTGAGCAAGAGCGAGACCTGTCTCTACTAAAAATAGAAAAAATTAGCAAGTCAACTAAAAATAGAAATGAAAAAAAAAATTAGCCAGGCATGGTGGTTCCCGCCTGTAGTCCCAGCTACCCAGGAGGCTGAGGCAGGAGGATCACTTGAGCCCAGGAGTTTGAGGTTGCTGTGAGCTAGGCTGATGCCATGGCACTCTAGCCCAGGCAACAGAG